GTATTTTTATGAGCGCATGGGCTGTCCGTTGAAATCAGTCCCAAATCTGGAGGAAGAAGATTTAAGTCCCAATATTTTAAAAAGGTCCCGAGTAATGGGCTTTAGAGGAATTTAAATTGTACTGCCTGATCTGCGTAAAAATCAGCGTGTTGTGTGTTGACCACGGAAGCATCCCAGACGCAAGCTCCCCTAAGGAGGTGAACCTGACTGTAATCGAGCCTCAAGAGCTAAATTCAATTTACAGAAAATACAGAGGAGAAAGGTGCAAGTGGAATGAAAAGACAAGAAAGCAGCAGAGAAAGCCAGATCGTTGGGTGTTTCTACTGGATAACCAGCCTCATTCCTGCAACAAGCCAATGGCAAGACGGAAAGAAGACTGCACCAGCTCACAAGACACCAAGAGACACCACACAACCGAATGCAACGTGCACAACTAGTGTGATCCATAGTCTCACAATCGACTGTAAAAACGCATGTTAGAGGAAACTAGGGAAGTATTACCGTGGACTAGTCATTGCACGATGTCAAAGGATAACTGTTAGTTTTGTTAGGTGTGATAATGGCCATGTGGCTCTGCAAGACATACACACAGTGAGATGTGTAGGAATGAGGTAATGCGATATCTGGAATTCACTTTAAAATATCTCAGCACATGAAAAAGAAAAAAATGATAGGTGATCAAATGTGGAACATTTTTGACAAATTGTTGAATATGAGTGACAAGTGGGGTGGGCGTAAAAATATTCATAACAAAAATTTTAAAAGGCATATCCAGAAAACATTGATATATACCTCTCCAATTATTGAAAATAAACCAAAGTGATTTAAAAAAATATTTGCAGGCTTTACATTGTCCATAGTATTTTATACAGCCCTCCAAAGTTCATGGCCTCAATAAGAGTCTGTATCTTTCACAGATACAGCTAATTCCGCTCTTTGTAAATATACCACAAAACAATAATAGAAAAGGAAAAATAATTTATGTAAAAGTATTCCTGTAGCTTTATTATAACAGAGAAAATTTGGAAATTAAATATAAAATACAGGAGAATGTTAAGTTATTATGTACCAATATATTGAAAAACCTTAAACTTATCAAAGGTGACAAGAATTTGAGCTATGCAAATACATTAAACTGAGTGCACACTGATATAAATTAAGTATCAATTAAGATTCTTTCGCAGCTACAAGTGACAGAAAAGCCAACTCAAACTGGCTTAAGGCAAAGAGGAAATTCACTGGCTGGTGGAAATGAAAAGTTTAAGAGACCCAAAAGTCACACTGAAATGGATCACAGATCTAAATGAAAACACAAAATGGTAAAACTTTCAGAAGAAGACAAAGAGAAAATCTAGGTGACCTTGGGTTTAGTGATGAATCCTAAGATACAGCATCAAAAGCATGATCCATAAAAGAAAAAAGAATTGATGAGTTGTGCTCCATTTAAACGAAAACTTCTGTTCTAGGAAAGACAATGCTAAGAAAACGAAGAGACAAGTGCAAACCAGGAGAAAATATTTGCAACACACTGATCTGATAAAGGACTTGTATCTAAAATTTATACAGAACTGTCAAAACTCAACAAGAAAACAACAACCAAAAAAAAACCCCAAATAAATAAAACAGGCAAACGTTATGAACAGACATCTCATCAAAGAACGTATACAGATGGCAATTAAGTATATGGTCACTGGACAGTAGGGAGTAATGCATTAAAACAGTGAGATGTAACTACAGACAGTTGGGATGGCTAAAGGTCAAACCGCAAACTATACCAGACACTGACAAGGATGCAGAGCAACAGGTATCCTCATTGCTGATGGGAATAAAAAATGATACAGCTGCTTTGGAAGACAATATGGCAGTTTCTCAGAAAGCTAAACAGAGACTTACCATGTGAACCAGCAATCCCATTGCTAGCTTACCAAATTGATTTGAAAACATATCCACATAAAAGCTTTATAGAAGTTTTTTGCAGAATTGCCCCAAACTGTAAAACACCAAGGTGTCAACAGGTGAGTGGATAGACAAATCGTGGTACAACCATATGACGGAAGGTTATCCAGGGATAAAAATAAATGAGCTCTCAAGCCATGAAAAGACATGGAGGAACCTTAAATGCATATTGAGAAGTGAACGCAGCCAGTCTGAAAAGGCTGCACACTGTGTGGTCCCAGCTCTAGGACATTAAGGAAAAGGCAAAACCACAGAGGGGGTGTGGCCAGGAGCCCAGGGAGAGAAGGGCGGCGGTGGGGCTCGGGGGTTGGGGGGAACATAGGTGAAGCACAGGGATGTGTAGAGGGGTGAAGCTATTCTGTGTGATACCGTAATGGCAGATATATATGTACTCACGAAGTTTTTGAAACCTACAGACTTTTTAGTACAAAGAGCAAACTTTGATGTATGCAAAATTTTAAAAAATCATTTAGGAGTTTGGGGGATTCCAGGACAGAATTCAGAGGATGACAAGAAAATCTAACTGTGTTACAAATGTATGGAACAGCCACACTGAAGGGGGTGGGGGACCTAAGTCACTTTGGAAGCGAACAGAGACCATAAGTCTAAGGCCAAAGGAACGGCCAGGAAGCACTGTACTCTAGCTGGTAAGGTTTTCCCATGGAGCACCGGTGAGCAATTCTGATACTCATATACACACGCACTGGAATTAACCCTTAAAGAAATGGGTGGCAAATAGTGGCACCTGAGCTACTCATGATTGGGGTGGGAACTTGCAGATAAGCAAGCGGCATGCTTAAAAATACGCTTATGATTTTAAAATATAGAGGAAATAAGATAAAACTTGATTTATTTCTTACAGGCATCATGATTAGCCATATTCTATATAACTATAGTTTTTTTTAATCAAAGTCTAGTTGATTTACAATGTTGTGTTAGTTTCAGATATATGGCAAAGTGATTCGGTTATCCATGCGTATAATTCCACACACACATCCCGCCCAAATCATGTAAAGCAAGTTGAAGGAACAAGACTCCAGTCAACAATTTCACTAAAGCTCATTACACACCCCGCTCAAAGTTTTATCACCAAATACATCAAGTTTATAAAGATACAAGAAACTTAAATCAGTAATAGTTAAAATTTGACCCAAACGATGATTTGTATTAACATCAGAGTTGCCCCCATTACACAAAACACAACCTCTATGACACAAAAATGTCCCCTTGTGGCAGTTAGCTCAGATAGGGTGAGAACAAGGATGCCAGAGATCCGTTCAGGGCAGCGCGGTGTGAACCGTGTGCGTCGTAAGCGCAGCGGAGTCGTATAAAATAAACAGGTGTGTTACCACGCTCGCGTTCGTTATCACGTGAGTCCCATACAGGAGAGGGGTGTGAAAGAAAGGTTAGAGCTCCTCGTGAAAGACGCACACAAGCCCTTTACCTGTGAAAACCATCCGCTTCCCCACCGTGGCGGACGCCGGCTCTCGAGCGGATGCGCCCGGCATGGCCGAGGTCCTCACTGGGCGGCTGGACTTTCTTTCTCAGCTTCTTCAGGACGAGCCAGCGACTCTGCCGTCTCTCCCCTCCTGTCTGTGACCCGAACTAGGCGGTTGCTAAGGACTCTTTATGACAGGAAGGCAGGGTGTTCCTTCTAACACAGCTCAGCATTCCATCCTCCGGGAACAGAGCCACAGAGCTGCCGCATTCCCAGGACCCGCATCCAATAAGGGCTTGTCCTTATCTGTCAATATCAAGTCAAGAACAGGCCTGCAGAGCAGCCTTCTGTCACAGACGACCTGGGAGCCGCCAGCAACACAGGCTTTCAACATTTCCCAGAGATTGTCCGGCAGAGCGGTGTGACTGCGAGAACCAACCAAACAAAAAACACAGACCACGGTTAAAGGTATCTGAGAAACTCCAGCTAGATAAATTATTCTTATATGTATACATATATATAATAAAAATTATATTAATAAATGAGAAAGATCATCATACATGTATTCCATCCCAGCCCCGTATTTCAATACTTCCTTAGACACAATCTATGCCTCGGTCTTGTCTGCCTGTGGTTCCCATGATGTGTGATGCTCTTTCGTTCCTTTGTGCCTTTACACATTCAATTTGCTCTTCCAGTAATGTTCCTGTGTGAACCAGCTGAGCACCATCTCTTTCCTGCCCCTTACCTTCTATCGTTCTAAACAAATTGGTGTCTTGTTTTGTCTGCCTCCCTGCTAGAGTCCAACTCCCAGTTCATGTGAAAAAGCATCTTTATTCATCTTTCAGTTTCCAGAGATGGCCATGCAAGAGATATTTAAGAAATGTTTGTGGGATGAGTGAATGAACAGCTAATTCCAGCCTGCCCAGAAATACACTATTGACTACCTGATAATCCATGGAATACAAATTCTAATAGTAATCTTTTAAATAGACTTTATTTCTTTAGAGCAATTTCATGTTCACAACAGAATTGAGCAGAAAATAGAGTTCCCACATAGCCCTCCCCACCCACACATAAACACTCCACTACCCTCAACATCCCTCATCAGTGTGGCATATTTGGTACAATCAATGAACCAACATGGACACATTATCAACCAAAGTCCATCGCTTACATTAGGGCTCACTCTTGATGTTGTACATTCTATGGGCTTTGACAAATCCATAATGACCTGTAGCCACCACTATAGTATCATACAGAATAATTTCATTACCCTAAAAATCCCTTGTGCTCCATCTATTCCTCCCTCCCTCTCTCTCCCCAAAGCCCTGGAAACCACGATCTTTTTATTGTTTCTGTAGTAATTTTTTAAGTCAACCTTAAATATATAGGGTTCTTTACTGAAACGTAATGCGTTTTGTTTGTTGAGAGAAATTACAATAAAAACACCCTCTATTAACCCTGGAGAGGTTTGCTAGCACAGCAGCAGAGGGGTGCTCCCCCCTCAGGTCCCTCTTCAAGGAAGGGCTTGCATCCCGCTACAGGAAATACCATCAGCAGGCAGTCTCCAGCTGTCACCTCCTTCGGGGTCTGCTTTAGCTGCAGAGAGCTGCCTGTCTGTCTGAGGTCAAGCCCCTTCCAGGCAGCGCCATCAGGAGACTAAGTGAGGTGGGGGGATAAAGGCAGGACAATTTTTTACACGGTGAGCCAAGGCTTTGTTGAGCCCTCATCACAGTTCTGCTTCTTTCTCCACCCAATCCTGCATCAGCCTCTTTCTGTTCACAGGTGTAGACCCCCAAATAACCATCTTAACCCCCCAACTTCTGGAGAGCATGACCTGTGGCAACCAGACAGCATAGACATGTAACAGAGAAGAACAAACCTGACTCCACGTTAGATCTGCTCCCATTGCCTCTAACCCTGGGCTCTGTTTCCCATGCTGAGTCCTGCTGGTTCTGCACTTTTGTAAAAGAATGTTGCCTAGAGCCTGAAATGTACAGGAGAGCCCATCCTCAAGGCTCTGACCTTTAAGGGTGCAACACTTTCCCATTCACGTAGAGATAAAATGTTGCAGAACAGAGGATAATATTTGTCTTGTCAGAGGTCTGTAGGAACATCTTGACCTGACCCACATGGACAGCTGCAAGAACAGAAAATTCCAGCACCAAGAAATTTACAACCATCAAACACACCCCCTCTCCTTTTGATATAAAGGAAGCCAGAATTCTGACTCAGGGAAGACAGTTCTTTGGGACACGAGTCCTCCATCTTCTTGGCCTGCTGGCTTTTGGAATAAAGTCGCTATTCCTTGCCCCTGCATGGCATTCTTCTTCACCTCTCTACTGTCCTCTGCAGTTTCGGAAGCTTTTCTACTCCTTCTCAGGTTACCTCATCCTATTACTATAGTTGAGGGCTTTCTGATGCCAGCTGAAAGCTTCTCTCTGAAAATTCCCTATTTGTGTCCTTGGAACCACCACTTTCCAAGTCAGCCAAGTTTGAAACCACTTAGGTGAAGACAGGAGCTTGACTGTTTGGGTTTCTCACTGTGGTTTTCGTGATGCTGAGAGAGAAGGGAAGGAGGAACCCGAGTAAAGAAAAGTAATTCTTTAGTAAAACAAGCAGAAAATAAAGGAGATCTTGGCTTTTGGCCATGGACCTCCCATTAACCCATCCTGGGAAACACAGGCTTCCACCTTGCCTTAGAGACAGTTATAAACTTTTCACTCTGTGGTGAGTTTAGGGTCAGAGATTTTGATGGCAAAAGGCCAGAGGGAAAGGAAAATAGAGGAGAAAATCAGAGTTAGCTCTTCTCTGTGAGATTATTCCACCAACTCAATAAGGATTTAGGTTCATTTATTTTGTTTTGTTTCTTTTTTTTTTTCCCTAGGGATTTAAAAAATTATTTTCTAATTCAGTAAAATATTTACATGGTTCCAAAATAAAATGCTTAAAATAAGGGATATTTAGAGAAGTCTAGCTTTATCTTTATCATCTCCATCTTGTAATTTCTCTATCATTATAGGAAAACTTGTAAAATCTAAAAGGGAACTATATATTTATAATCATATCCTCTTTCTCAGAAAAAGACTAGCAAATTTAATTTATGTTTACCCACCTTGCCTTTATTCAACTAGTCCTCTATTAATGTTATATGGACTGTTTCCAATTTTTTGTCCTTATAAAAAGTGCTACAAAGTATACATTTTCTCATACATTTTGCAGTACATCTTTGGGATAGATTCCTAGAAGTGTGATCCCCAGAGCAGAAGGTAAAAGCATGTATACATTAGCTTGATATTGCCAAATGTCCCCCCATAAGGGTTGTACCATTTTGTATTCCAATCAGCAATGTCCGAGAATGCCTGTATCTACACAATCTCACCCACAGAGTGTGTCGTCACACTTCTGGACTTCTGACCAGTAAGAAATGGTCACACCAGTCATGGACATGCCTCATATATTGGCAAGATGGAATAGCTTTCCCTATGTTGTGTAGCTACTGGCGTGATTTTCCATGACGCTTCTGGTCACAGCTCTTGTGTATTTTACTACCAGGCATTGAACTTTTCCCCCTTTTCCAAGAAGGAGCTGATATTCTAAAGGACAACAGACACACAGAGAATTACAGTAAAGTGTAGGAAGGGCAGTAATGGTTCCCAGAACACATTTCATACCTAGTTTGTGCTCACAGACACGGGGACAGGGAGGAGGCCATATCCAATCTGTGTCTCCAAGAATGACGAGGATCTAGGAAGGAATGGGGGCTGTGGGGTGGGGTGGGCAGAGAGGCATTTGGGACAAAGAGGAAGGCTTTAGTGAAAGGCTCAGAGGGGAGGAACAGCCCACAGAACCATGCACAGCAGACAGACCAGTGGGCATAGCTGGAGTGATAGCTCTTCTGATTGTTTATCGAGCATCCTACAGGGTGGGGGCAGGGGCAGCACCTGTGATTTGGAAACTCCTCTACTCCAACCCTCCAGTCATTTGTTGGATCCAGGGCACTGCGCCTGCCACCTTTATTCTTTGCTCCGCTGAAGTCTTCCTCCTGCCTGGAAAAATCCACCTGCGGAGTTTTCTCTATCCACATCCTCTCTCCAGCCAGCTCCCTTTTTCATATTCCTTATCCAGTTCACCTGACTTGCTTTGAGCTCTTTTCCTGAGAAACTCCCAGCTCCCTTTGAAAACCCTGGAAGCAGGGAGTTACCTGGAGAGCAGCAGAGGGTGAATGTCTCCCCAGAGCACAGCCAGGAGCCAACACTCCTTACCTTTCCAAGGAAGTGTATTTTCATAATGGAATATAAATATTTACACTTATTAGGGGGAAAAGCAATTAAATGTCGTCTAGAATGGTATATGTACTTCCACAGATTCTTCTAAAGTTTCTCCTGGGAACTTTAGAACCAAGGTCTGAAGCTGACTGATATGTTTTCATCCAGCTTCCTGAAACTGGGCATAATTACAGCAGCTCTACAACCCAGGATTGGTCACAGTGTCTGACCTTTGATGTTGAAAGACTAGATATAACTTCTCAGTGTTTGCCAATCATCAGCTGTGATGTAGAATGAGCACTGAAATGTGTGGAGAGTGACCCTCAAAGAGCCACAAACCATCTAAAAATAGCTGTTACCTTCCACTTGAAATAGATTATATGCTGGTTTAGAGTATGGGCATTTAGTCTCAAGAAAAAAAAAAACTCTACTTCTTTGAAAAAATTCACTTTTTAGACCATTCAGCAAAACTTCAATGGGAAAATAACTTCCCTTCTTATATATTTTATTAGGATTTTTAAACTTAATCTTTTTATTAAACTTGAATGTAACATTTGAAAGTGTTATTTAAAATGGCTATGAACAGGGGGGTGGGTATAGCTCACTGGTAGAGCACGTGCCTACTGTGCACGAGGCCCTCGGTTAAAAAAAACCAGTAATTCACAAATTTCTAAAAAGAAAATGCAATGACTAGGATTAGTTTTTCTTTAATTTTTTGAAGGATTAATTAGATATTTTTTTTTTAATGGAGGCATGCTAAGCATGCTAATGCATGCTAAGCACATGCTTTACCACTGAGCTATACCCTCCCCACATTGAGTGAGAACAGTCACTAAACCTAGCCCATGCTGAAGGGTAGGGCATTCCACAGGACACAACTGTCAGGGGTAGGAATCACTGGGGCCATTTAGAAGCTGTCTGTCACAGACAGTCAGGGAAAAATCCACAGTGGTGGTGGTGGTGGGGATTTTAAGAGCAGAGATGTTTGCTATGGAACTTTCAGTTTTTTGTAGAGCTACTTCAGCTCTTAAACATCAAAACCAACTCTTCCTAAATGTCCACTGACAGACAACTGGATAAAGAAGTTGTGGTCTATTTATACAATGGAATACTACCCAGCCATAAAAAAGAATAACATAATGCCATTTGCAGCAACATGGATGGACCTGGAGATGATCACACTAAGTAAAGTAAGTCAGACAGAGAAAGATAAATATCATATGATATCACTTATATGTGGAATCTAAAAAAAAAAACACAGATGAACTTATTTACAAAACAGAGACAGACCCACAAACATAGAAAATAAACTTACAGTTACCAAAGGGGAAAGGGAGTGAGAAGGGATAAATTGGGAATTTGGGATTAGCAGATACAAACTACTATATACAAAATAGATAAACAACAAGATCCTACTGTACAGCATAAGGAACTACATTCAATATCTTGTAGTAATCTATATTGGTAAAGAATATATATAAAATGTGTAACTGAACCACTATGCTATACACCAGAAACTAACACATTGTAAACCGACTTACTTCAATTAAAAAATAAATAAACAATACCAGCTCTTGCGCCATCCATCAAGGGCTGGGTGACTGATTCATCACTTAAAGAAGTGGGGTGGGTGATGGGGTGTGGGTGGAGGGTTGGAAGTTACCCAGACTCTGATATTTGGTTGTCTCACTCTTTCATTCCTGTATTTTCTGGAGCCTTTTGGCACATTCCTATTTCATGACCAGGATCCTATCAGTTCTGTTAAACCACTAGTATTCTGGAACCCAGCCTTCAGAAAAGCTAAAAATATTATTCACGTTTTTCTAAAGCAAACGTCAACTCTTGTATATTTTAAAGGTTTTGTTTAAAAAGCTATAAAAATAGGTTGTTATTGTTGACAAACTAAATAATCAACTCCTAAATAAACTTACTCTACAAGTTACCTAATCCTAACAGGAAAGGAAACGCCCCTCCCCCAAATATATAGATACATAAATACATTTATTTTTGTCTAAGAGCATTTACTCATCTATAGATGTAATACTTTTCTTCCTTTATTGTGTATTTTTAAAATCCCCTCTGATTTTCTCTGATTTTTGTTAAGAGCAAAATTCACACTAGACTTTAAAATTGAAAAAGCATTCTTCTCATTCCTGCTAGGTTCCAGGGCTTGACTGATTGCATTTTTATCTGCCGGTGCTTATCATCCACTCCTAGAAATCGCCGCCTGGGACAGCGCTCTGTCTTGGTCTCTTTATCTGTCATGTCTCTGAGTCAGGTTACAACAGACTGTTGGTAATCTGAAAAATACCAAGATACTCCTTGATAACTAAAACTCCCCGTGAGCGAGAGTCCCTGCACCCACCAGACAAGCCCTGCAGTTAAAAACCAGGCTGGAGCCCCCGTGGAAGCCACAGTGTGTCTGCCCTGCTACGGGATGTTCTGTGATTTTTGTCCTCTGTTTCTTGAGGTTCTGCAAGGTCTGAAATAAGTTCAAACGTACGGGGGGGGGGTCACACGTGAGAACCATGATATGGTAGCACTTAATAGACAAATGGACAAAGAAGAAAAGTGACAAGGGCTCTAACTCCCAGCACGTGGAAAAGATGACGCTTACCTGCTGGCGTGCAGAGATGCTTGCTCCTTGCAGCGATGTCTGTGGTCCGCAGAGGAACTGCTTTGCCTTCTCTGGGGCCCCTGAGCTAGCTCAGGCACCCTGGGACATCCTCTTACCTCCGCCAGCGCGTGGTGGCGGGGAACAGACCCGCCTCTGTTCCAGACGGGTGTCGTGCTCACCAGGTGTGCGCGCGGCCGGCCGGCTGCGGTCCGGTCTGCAAGCGCAGCGCGGTCGCCCGTCGTGTGCGGTCCCAGCGCGAGCTTCCCACGCTGCTCATCCCTGGAGAGGGTCCCAGAGGAGACCCACAGCCATGGGCTTTGTTTTGTGGTCTCGCAGAGCTCAGAGCCTGCTTCCCTCCTGCAGGCACTTCTGTTGGTGCCGAGCCACGTGCACGTGGGGAATGGGCGGGGCCGCCCCCGAAAACTCCCCCCACGTTCCACCTGCGAAAGGACCGTCACTGAAAACGCCTACGGTTTGCTTGTGAAGGTGCGATCAAAGAAGTTTGTCTGCAAAGACAACTAACCGTTATTTTCAAAAACTGAGATAATTTATCAGAGTTCAAGAAATCATTCAACATCAAAGTATAAAACATAAGCTTTTAGGAATTACTTAAACTGCAGATGCCAAAGATTTATCGCAAACATTCATTATACTTATAAAAACCTATCACTGATTTTCACAGAAAGAAAATACAAGACTCTTCTGACTATTGTAAATTTCTTTTAAATGAGAGGGAGTTCTGAAAAAAATCACTGTCAAGAAAAAGGAACATTGACATATCACAACTCAATGGATTTCACATCTAACATAGATTAGCTTTTTTTTTTTAATTTAAAAAAAAAAAGAAGGCACAGCTGGACCAGTTAAGCTTTTTGTTTTTATGTTCGTTCACTACACACAAAAGTCTCAGACATCTTTACTGATTTCCTGAACGCTCTGAAATAAGTAGCTTTAAAAAAATTTTTGGGGGGGTATTCTTTTTTGAGATGAGTTTTATTTTTCATTTATTTATTTGGGGGGATAATCAGGTTGTATTTATTTTAAAAAAAATTTTTTAATGGAGGGACTGGGGATTGAACCCAGGACCTCATGCATGCTAAGCACCTGCTCTCCCGCTGAGCTCCCCCCCGCCCATGCAACAAATAGCTCTGAAAATTGTTGAGAAGATATAAGAAAGCGTGAAATGTATACATAAATATCAAGATTCACAGAGACTGTTTAAAGAATATGGGATACAGACCAAGTGATTTTAAAAAGTCACTGTTTGATCCCAACTTAGGATGTTCAGTCAACTTTTCATGAAGATATTTATTCTTTAGAATGTTCTGAATTTTTATGATTCTTTGGAAATATTGGCCACCTGGTCTCAATTTTTTATATTAGGTCGGGATCTACTTAAAAATGAGTTAAAAGCCACATGAATTTTGTGTCTGCCTGGAAAATAGGGTTTGACTTCCACAGATGTCCTGTAGATCCCAAATATACACTGCATTACAGCCCTGGTATTTTAGCTGTTACCAAAGAAACAAAAGCAAATTTAATATTGGAGAAATCTTGCTAGGAAGGGGGCATTGAGGTAAAGGTTACTTTGGACTCCCAGACTTAAAGGAGCCTCCTTTATCTACCTACTCCTCGGTAGATAAACATAGAAGGTAATTTTTTGATAACACATCAAGTAACATGGACATTATTTTAATTGTGCCTTGCCAAAAAATTTCCCTCAGGAATGTAAATTCCTGCAGGAATTCGTGCAGCCACTATGGAGGACAGTATGGAGGTTCCTTAAAAAACTAAAAATAGACTTACCATATGATCCAGCAATCCCGCTAGCACATATTTGGAGAAAACTCTAATTTGAAAACACACATGCACCCCAGTGTTCATAGCAGCACTGTTTACGATAGTCAGGACATGGAAACAACCTAAATGTCCCACAATAGATGACTGGATAAAGCAGCTGTGGTATATTTATACAATGGAACACTGCTCAGCCACAAAATAGAATAAAATATTGCCACTTGCAGCAACGTGGATGACCTAGAGATATTATACTGAGTGAAGTAAGTGAGACAGAGAAAGACAAATATCATCTGATGTTGCTTATATGTGGAATCTAAAAAGAAAAAAAAACACCAAAAAAAATCTTATTTACAAACCCCAAATGGACTCAGACATAGAAAACAAGCTATGTTTACCAAAGGGGAAGGAGTAAGGGAGTGATAAATTAGGAGTTGAGGATTAACAGATACACATTACTGTATATAGAATAGATAAACAACAAGGACCTACTGTATAGCACAGGGAACTATATTCAATATCTTATAATAACATATAATGGGAAAGAATCAGAAAAATATATATATGGATGTATATGTATAATAGAATCATTTTGCTGTACACCTGAAACTAACATTGTAAATCAATTACACATCAATAAAAAACAAACAAACCAAAAGACGCCCCTCAGTGTCGGCTTATTACTCTGGCCCAGACTGCTTTTTTTTGACCCAGCTGGGGAAGCAGTGAAAATAAAGTTAACAGTGACATTAATCAAACTTCTCTTAATTTGACAGCATCTGGATTTCATTCTTCTTTCTGGGTGGTGAGACCTCGGTTCTGTTTTCTTTTTTGACTGTTTGTGCTCACTGATGACCCCAGTAGGCTTGAGAAGTGGGAAGAAAGGTGCGATGACCTAACTTAAGTGCTGGCCTGCTGAACTGAATGGGAGAGAAAAGGGGTAGCATTTTTAACACGTAAAATATGTATGAAAATCAGGGTAGCGTGATTATAGTCCTTAAAATGAAGACGGTGGAAAAAGATTTGTGAGTTAGTAGAAAGGATCGCTGTATATAGTCATGGAAACCTCTAGCCTGGACTCAGCCTTAAGATTAGAGAAGTATAAATTTAGTGTGTAAAATCTGAACGACGCTTCCAAGAAAACGCTATTCTTGCATTTCCTTGCAGAAACATAAAAACACACAGGCTGTATAACAGGGGAATAGTTTTAGTAAACGTGGTTTGAATTATGTTCAGATGAATGCAAAGTGCTATGTTTTCTGGGAGAGGTGTCTAGTTCAGAGATTTTTATTTGTTTTATTGCTTGAAACTGTTTAAGATTTGTTGTGGTCTTCTGGGGGGTTCTTTGTCCTTTTGCAAATCTGATACGACTAGACTGTAAACCACTCAGAAGAAAAGATTGCATCTACTGTTTCCTTGCCTCCCCCCACCGTGCACACAAAACGAGCTGCAAAACCCTGTTGCCTGAATTACTGAAGCATCACTAAAGCACTTTCATTACCGAACGTAGAGCAGAGACCATTTACACCGTGGCTAGTTCCCAAATCTCTCGCTGCTAATTAATGACATCTTATCTGCCACAAGATGTAACATCTACTCAGAAGGATGGAAATGAGTCTCTTTCTTTTCTTGTCACCCTTCCTCCACCATTTATTTGTTTCTGTATTAGCAGGAACATTTGCCTTGGGTTCATCACTCAGGGTTTTCTCTTGGCCAAGTGAAACTCTCTGCAGTGTCGATAGAGATGTGTTAAAAAGCTCTAGGACCCAGGTGTGTGCCAGAACACAGCCAACCACCACGTGCTTATGTCTCTGTGTCCTTGTGAACTATCACTCTCTAGTTCATTGCTGTTTAATATTTACTGAGAATGCATCAGCTCCATCCTTTCATTTCCTGTCTGCAAGGGCAGCGCCTGTGCTCTTCCTTCCCTGCCGCACCCCCTCCAGCTGTCTCCTGCCCAGTTCACCCCAGGTCAGGATGCTAAAACCAGCAAACAGCACAAACCTCCCTTGCTACCACTTTCCTAGTGTCCCATCCCCCAACCCCCAAAGACTGGAAATGACTTAGATGGAGGGAAACTGGCAGAGGAGATGAGGAACCCAGGGCAGACGTTCAGACCAGGCGAGTCTGTTGGAGAGAAAGGTGTAGGAAGAGAGTGCAGACTTGGTAGAGTTACCAGTACATCTCGGGGAGCAACTGGGAAGGAGCCAAGGACGCCGATCAAAGGCGGGAGCTTCCCAGAGGTAGCCAGGGGGGTCCATTTGTGCAAGGTTCTGATTTCTTTGGGGCTCACATTCCTGCAGGGTAATAATCAGCCAGCACTGAGCAGAGCTTTCCATATCCCCTGATTTCAGGAGATCCTGAACACACACACACACACGTGTACACACAAGCATAATAAAAGGTTTATCTACCCAGATGCCACAGACTTCAACTGCCCAGTTGTGCAGGGTAAAGGAGACTGGAAATGCTGGAAAGTTTTGGGCTTAGCACCTGGCTTCTCCACTTTCTAACTG